CCAATCAATTTAATGTATCCCTCATTCAACACTGCAAGCTGTAATTGAGAGAGGTATAACACATATAATAATTTATTAATTTCCATTCCAATTTTCTATTAGAAATACTTCTCAAGAATGTACTCATCCATGACGTCTTCAAAGTGAAAATACATTGTTGTACATATTTTGATGTACAATATATGGATGTAATAACTTAATGCAGAAAAAGAGCAGAACCGAATGGGAGGGAAAATAAGAAGTGGTACAGACTGGAAACAGATTTTTAATTCAAACACTGAATTAAATTCTATACACTGAAATGAATCTGAATATATCACCTTTTAGTATTGTAATCTTTTTCAGATTGATAAACACATGCAATAAGCAGATGGAAAGAGAAGTGAGTCCAAGTTTATAATGAAGGTACACTCTCTGGTCACACTTAGGATGTTTACAATTTCATCTGAAACATGAAAGAACTGACATACAATACTACAAAGGGATTTCTATATGACCCAAATCCTGTGTAGGGCATGTTGAGATCTAGAGAAAAAGTAAAGGAGAGATTGCACTGCCTTTTTATATCTATGTATACAGAAAGAGTAGCCTTGTGGGAAATTCAGATGTCTTGCAATTATCACACCAAAAATGCTGGCTGGGTATATAAGGAGTTCTAGTTCAACCATATCTGAAGGATACCAGATGGGAGAAGACTGTCAAAGAGACTGCATCTGAAAATGCTTTGTATGATGGATTGTACTGTTGCCTAGAAAAAGCTAAGGAAAAACAGAAGATTTGGACTTTATTAATAAGGTTTCAGAGATGTTACAATTTGAATTTTTTAATTTATAATTTGGTTGGAAATTCAGAAGATCAAATTAATTAATGAAAGCATACAGTTTTAAAAACAGCATTAGTTGACTTTGCCATTCTCATTCAGCAGAGACCCACTTCAATATGGAGACCTCTGTGTGCACATAGGTATAGGATATCTTTTTGTAATTCTGTTGTTGAACAAAAAGTAATCCTCTTGGGAAATGCATCATCAATATTAGAAGGTTAACTTGAAATCTGGCCATTTCCTGCTTTAATCTACAGAACTTTGAAGATGTGGTTTTCTGAATCTAAATGTTTCCTTTAAAAAACAAACTGTTTTAAGGATGACTAACTTTGACAATATTCCTTTAATAAAAAGCAGACTCGCTGCATAAAAGTCACACTATTTTTTAAAGTTTTTCCAGATCCCAAAATATTTATCCAAAAATGTTAATTGGTCAATTTTAAGCCAAAAAGACAAAATGCCTATTGTTGTGTGCCATTTTGGTATCATAGTTCCATGTAGCAACCTGTTCAACCTGTATACGAAGATACTAAAATAAAAAACAAAGGATTATATAAAGCATCCAAAGATGAAAAGAGTTAAAAAAATGTGTCTAAAGCTAATTTAAACACGACAAACTACTCCTAAAACTAAAATCTTACGGTATCTCTGGACACCTGCATAACTGGATAGAAGCATTCCTGTCAAACAGACAACAAATTGTCAAAATTGGGAGCATCCTATCAAATTCTGTACCTGTCAACAGTGGTGTCCCCCAAGGCAGTGTTCTAGGACCAACTCTTTTCATACTCTACAATGATCTCTGTGATCATATCAAGAGCAACTGCGTTCTCTTCGCTGATGATGTAAAGCTATTCAACACCACAGACAATACCGCTCCCCTTCAAAAAGACCTTGACTATGTATCAGAATGGTCAAACAAATGGCAACTTCAAATCTCAACAAATAAATGCTCTGTCTTACATATTGGCAAAAAAACACCAGAAAATAAAATACAAGCTGAATAGCCAAGACCTTGTTGATCATCCAAACTCTGTAAAGGATCTTGGAGTACTCATCTCTAATGACCTAAGTGCTAGAGCCCACTGTAACTACATAGCCAAAAAGGCATTAAGAGTTGTTAACCCAATCTTATGTAGCTTTTTCACTGGTAATATCACACTACTAACTAGGGCAATATACCAACCAACTAGATACAAACTCAAGGTTAATTGCACCAAACTTGATTGCAGGAAGTACGACTTCAGCAACAGAGTGGTCAATTTCTGGAATACTCTACCTGACTCTGTGGTTTCTTCCCCAAACCCCAAAAACTTTAACCTTAGACTGTCTACTATTGACCTCACCCCTTTCCTAAGAGGTCTGTAGGGGGCGTGCATAAGCGCACCAACGTGCCTACCGTCCCTGTCCTATTGTTTCTTTTTTTTTTCTTATATTTATCCATGTATTCATAACTATGTTTTCACTTATACCTATTATCTTGTAAGCAATTGACAAAAATAAATAAATAAAAATAAATAAAAAATAATTTGCTATGAAAAGTATTTATAAAAATAGCCTTATTTCTGTGCTAGTATCTCAGCTAGCAACAAATAAAATGTGAAGGATGCTGGGAATGTTTGGAAAGCCAGAGGTTCATAAAACCCTGTTGGAATAGCCAGCAATCCATCTCTTAATACTCAATCAGCTGTATTCAGAAGATTTAATAAAAAGATGATTATCTCTTGACACTGTTATTCCTTGGCAGCTAGTATTCAACATATGCCACTTCTGATTATGAAGGTAGCAAAAAAAATCATTGAGAATGCTAACGCAGTAGAACTGCTGGACAAAATCTGTATTTTCCTTTCCCTGCTGTCTATTGAATATCTTCATTCCCCTTTTGTAATTAAGAATTACTGATGCTATAGTCTTTCCCAGTGGATAAGCTGCTATATCATCCAAATTGTTTTGATTGCCCTTTTGGGGGAAGGGTTTTTTAATTCTTCAATAAGTAGACTGATGTACAATTTGTAGAATATTGAATACAATATTCAAGTGTAGTGGTTAAAACTGAATACATTCTTTCCAAATGTGGTCTCATCATAGATTTATAAGGACATCATAATATTGGCTGCATTTGTGTTAGTTCTCTTTCAATGTTTCCAGACATAGAATTTTATGGTGGCTAGACATTGGGCAATTTTCCTTGACTTATGTACTATGACTCCAAAATTTTCTGAATACTTTCTGCTTCTTCTCCTTAGCTACATTAAAATGTTGACGTTTATTAATCTACTTTGGTCAGATCCTTTGGGAATTTTCTCTAAACCTCTCTTCTCCTTTTTAATTTTACTATCTTAATACATAATCTAATCAAAGTTATCCAGTGGTATCATAGCTTATTAGTAACTGTAATCCACATCTAAAGAAAAACAATTTAAGGAATAGGATCATGATGGGCAAGAAAATGGACCTTTTTGATGTAGAAGGTTTAAAAATCCTCTTTTTTCCTCATCAGGAACAACACTATTATATCGCATTTAATATTTTTTTTACTTAAAAAGATTGCATGGTGGTATACATAGCAAAAACATGTACAGTAGCATGGGCTGACAATGACCCAACAGTAATCCAACAAGCGTCTGTTCCTAAGAGTAACTTGAAACTAGGTGTCCCCAATCCTATCCCTACACTTTAATCAGTCCATTAAACCAGCTCTTTATTTGCAGAGATCAACTTACATTTTCAAAAAAGCAAGAGTTTGGCATTTTCTCCAGATACCAGGAAGTGTTGCACAATGCTTGTGCAATGGGACAGGGACTCAAAATTTCATTATCCTTGAAATTACAGCAGTTCTACTTCTCCCTCCCATCCAAAATCTTTCACAATATCATGTCAAAACAACAACAACAAGAAAGTTCAGTTGCCCCTTGAAAAGCACCTTTGAGAGTCTCACAATAATATCTAAGTATTCTGAATTCTCTTATTCTTATTATGTGAAGAGAGATCTCTTTTTCACACCTCATGAGATTTGGAGTCTTGTCAATACTCAGTTGTTTTTATTTTTAAAATGGCATAATAATAATAAAGGTTGCTAATGACATCTACTGGCAATATATTATTGACCTCTGATGTAACACATTGTTACGGTGGGAGCAAAACCAAATTTGTAATACTCTTTGAAAACAATACAAATGATAGAAAAAGCAAGGTGCAGAAAGTACTTGAATAAATAATTTTTAAAGAATATAATATCTACCATTAAATGTGCTTTAGCAAGCAAATAACTCTTCACTTACTTTCAGTGAAGAGTTAATTTTAGCAACCTTCCTGTGACAGAATGAATGTAACAGGCTCCTTTCTCAAATATCTACCTAAACACTTAGTGGTTAACAGATGAAATATCTAAGCAATTAAAATTAATCAATAGATGCTTTAAAATATCAAACAAAACCCCCCAGCAACAATATAAAATAGATTAACTGAAGGAACTGAGTGAGAAAAAAATCCAAGTATCATTTCTATTATTTATTTTATAAATAGTTAGAAATTTTAAAATGCTTCAAAAATTAAAACTCATTCTGGATGATAGATGAATTTTCCTCAAATGATGAACTGTATTTCAATACATTCTTAGATTCATTTCTTCCAATAGGAATAGGATGTGATTCCAAAAAAATCCTCTGCAGTCAGGCTATTTCACTTGACTATATTGTGGACAAGTAGAAAGACTATTTATATTTATTAAAAGTTGGCAAACCCCATATTTCAAACCAGTAGTCCAGACACAAAGACTCCACTTAAAATTGGTTGTGCCATTTACTGTTTTAAAGGCAGCTCTGGAATGAAATGATCTGTGTAAATCTGAAAGACACAGAAGTTTAGGAAAAGAGCACACTGACAATTAATGTATTTGCAAGTATCAATGATGTTTCTTCCTTAAAATTCTTGATATCCCCTAAACAAATTTCTGATACCCCTAAACAAATTTCTGGTATGCATTTTCTTGGAGTACACATTCAGTATAACGTAAATGTGACAGTTATCAATATACTATAATACAAATATATATAAAATGAGTGTGCGTACATGCACAGAGACAGATACATACATACATACATACATACATATATACATACATACATACATACATACATACATACATACATACATACATACATACATTTATTCTTACCATTTGAGATTGGCTTCGAGGACAACCATTGATATCATCAACTTTTTCATTTGCTAAAAGAAAGCAATGAAGTTTTTTTTAAAAAAAATCATGTCTAAGAATAGGCAACAGGACAAGATAAGAGAAAGCAAATAGGCACACAAGTATTCAGTATTTTGCACATACTGAACTTTGCTCTCAGCACGCTTGAAATATACAATAACAGTCTTTCTTGTTAGCGGCAGTTCCTTCCCTCATGCAAAGGGGAAGTGCAGAGAACGTTGCTGCTAATTCTCCAGATCCTGCCAAATGACTGCTGACATGAGATCTTCCACAATTGTTTTTGTGGGATCAAGATACAGTTTCAAGTAATCTCAGAAAGCATAAACCGCTCCAGTTAATAAAATGCACACATTGGAGACACATGGCTTAATGAAGCATTCACTTTAGTCTGCCAAGTGTGTGAAACACAGTCCTTGGGCTATAAAAGGGATGGATCACATACAAATAGATTCAGACAAACCCTTATCAAAATTTCTGAACATTTTAAAAAATTAGAAAGCATTGCCTCTATTTCTGAAAATAAGTATATAGAGAGAAATAAACATACTAAATCACAACTATCTAATATTCACCTCACAGAACACTTTGTTCTAGTTCTATTGTATTTTATATCCTATCCGAGAAGTCAGATGTCAGGTTATGGGTAAATGCATGGGACTTACCAATAATTTGGATGATTTCTGCTAGTAGAACTCCATCTGCAATGTCCTGTTGCAAATCTTTGATCAGCCGTTTGTGGCCAGATTTTGCTAGATAATGATTAGCCCAGTCAGTGTAAATCTGCAGAATAGAGAGAAGGGAAAAAGGAAGAGAGAGAGAGAGAGAATAAAATTTAGAAAGATTTATGTTGGCTTACATGTGAGTAGAGCTCTATAAATCACATTCCAATTTAAGGAGTCACCACCAAAAAGTAAAACTTGAATGGTTTTTACTCTTTTAAATCAGCCTCTGTGCCATTTTTCTGCATTTTAACCTTGAATGATTCATTTTATTATACAATGAAACATCACTATCATTGTGATCAGTAAAAAAGCCCCTTCAGGACTGCCAAGAAAATTCTTGTCATAAATCACTTTCAGTCTGATTTGAGACTTACACTGGAAACATTGCATGTAATGTTTTTACTAGTTTCGTTTTGCTTTTTGTGTTTATTTTCATAAGAACTATGTGCAAACAGTTGTACCAGAGTTTTCTAGGGAAACAAATATTTTATCCATACAGAGTATGCAAACAAATGTGAGATGTACAGTACCTTACATAACTTGGCTCTGCAAATGCCTTTGCTTCCTGGAAGCAAATGAGCAATCTATACACCTATAAGTAATCATTTTTGGTTCACCATTCCTCAGAAATAAAGTGGATTAAAGTAGATCAAATAAATCCATCAAACCTTTTAAAAATTAAAGCTATACTAAATTACAAACATGAAAACCATATAGCAACAGCATGACAACAAAAGACAGAAACAAGCTTAATGACACAGTAGCATAAGTTCAGCCAAAAGTCGTGGCAAGCAGCTCTTTTGCTAACACCAAAAGCTAACTAAACTTGGTGCCAACTGTAATAGGATTACACCAGCCAGAATTTTGCAGTAAGGCAATCTGGAGAGATGCCCTCAGAGAGGAGAAAGTCTTTAAATTAATTGCCACAAATAAACACCAATACCCACACATGTTATAATCACTGAAAAGATAGCTGGACAGAAATGTGAGAATGGCTTATCATTCTCTGAGTTCATGGATACAGACTAGTGGATGCTGCTTAACTAAATTCCAACATTCATAAGAAATATACAAATACCATTTGTAGACCTATGAGCAACTTCCTATTTAAATAAAATCATGTTCAATCTAAATATCAAAGTCAAATCCCAACATTAATGTTTTCCTGAACATTCAGCACCACCACCACTCGCACTTTCAAACCTACAAGTTATTTACATTATGTAACTGTCTCCAAATTCCAAAGAATATTAACTTTAGAAGGTTCAATATTCTCTCCACATCAATTTTGGAAGGCTGATATAAAAAGTCCCAAATGAGACTGTTCCCCTGTAGAGAAGGGACTATTCTAATTATACCTAATATCCTATTGTACCTTCTATAAAGATCTAAACAGCCTTATAAGGTGATTGTCATGATAATCATAAAATGATTTTAAAAGATCAGGATTCATGTAATTTAATTGACTAGTAAAAGTAGTGATTTAGTGAATTTAATTGAACAGTGTGATTAGTGATTGGTGTAATTAATTGATCAGTGTAATTAATTGATTGTTGCTTAGCAAAATTATTTGACTAGTGAGATTATTGTAATTGATTAATTGGTGTAATATTGACTATATTGATTCCCAAAATTGTTTCATTAAACAATCTAATCAATGTTCTATCACAACTAACCTACCATGCCAAGACAAAAATCCAATGCCAAACCACAACAGAACGTCTAGACAATAGAGAGAAGGACCTGTACATTGACTACCGTGCTGACTGTATCAAAAGTAAGTCACACAACCCACAACTCCATCCAACCCTATTCCAACCAATCCGCCATCACCCAAGACTAGGCACGCACATCCCTAACTACCCCAATTACAACTACAGCTGACCTTAAATGCAAGCTTCTTAATGCAAGAAGTCTTGTGAATAAAATACCTGAATTCCTCCTCTTACTAAATACTGCTAAATTTGACGTCATATTTGTCTGTGAAACATGGCTCAATGCATCTCTCCCTGACTCCATTACCACAGTAAGAGACTATCATGTTTACCGATCAGATTGTAAAATCCGTAGAGGTGGTGGTGTTGCAATCTTCTATAAAAAGTCCTTACATCTAAAAAACATCCAAGTCACCCAGGAGCTAGCTCTTCCTGAGACCATCGTCTGTAAACTATCCTTAAATATCACATTTTGATTCTTACTATGTTACAGAGCCCCCGATTATGACATAGAACATGTAAACAAGCGGCTTCCGGTTTAAGCTTCTTCGGCGACAGACCAAAATCTGTGATTGTGCGCAGTTTAGATCTGTGCTCGCCACTGGAGTGCCTCAAGCCAACTGGTTTTGGGGCTAAACCACCATGTAGAGGTGGTGAAGAGGGGGGAGACTGCCACAGACAATACCGCTCCCCTTCAAAAAGACCTTGACTATGTATCAGAATGGTCAAACAAATGGCAACTTCAAATCTCAACAAATAAATGCTCTGACTTACATATTGGCAAAAAAATCAGAAAATAAAATACAAGCTGAATAGTGAAGACCTTGTTGATGATCCAAACTCTGTCAAAGATCTTGGAATACTCATCTCTAATGACCTAAGTGCTAGAGCCCACTGTAACTACATAGCTAAAAAGGCATTAAGAGTTGTTAACCTAATCCTACGTAGCTTTTTCTCTGGTAATATCACACTACTAACTAGGGCATACAAAACATTTGCCAGACCAATACTTGAATACAGCTCATCAGTCTGGAACCCACATTACGTATCTGATATTAACACAGTTGAGAAAGTCCAGAAATATTTCACAAGAAGAGTTCTACACTCCTCTACTCGTTGCAGAATACCTTATGCCACCAGACTCGAAATTCTAGACCTAGAAAACCTAGAACTATGCCGTCTTCGGTCCGATCTAGGTATAGTATATAAAATCATACATTGCAATGTCCTACCTGTCAATGAATACTTCAGCTTCAACCATAACAACACAAGAACAAACAATAGATAAAAACTTAAGGTTAACCAACTTGATTGCAGGAAATACGATTTCAGCAACAGAGTGGTCAATATCTGTAATACTCTACCTGACTCTGTGGTTTCTTCCCCAAACCCCAAAAACTTTAACCTTAGACTTTCTACTATTGACCTAAGAGGTCTGTAGGAGGCGTGCATAAGCGCACCAACGTGCCTACCGTCCCTGTCCTATTTTTCTTATATGTACTCATTTCTTGTATTCATAACCATGTTTATCCTTATACCTATTATCTTTAAGCGATTGACAAATCAAATTAATAAATAAAAAAATAAACGTATATCTCCTTACCTAGGAAAATACCCAGGAAATTCTGATCTGATAGATAGATAGATAGATAGATAGATAGATAGATAGATAGATAGAT